CTCAAAGTTTTTGAGTAGGTACACAACTGACTCTTATGATTATAATTATTGAAATGTGAAGATTATTTTATATTAATTATCCATGTAATTAGACCTTTTGTCTGTTTGGATACAAATAAATAAATAAATAAATAAATAAATAAATAAATGAGCAAACCTTGCTCTTCCAGACCTTCTAATGTGCGATTTCTAGCACGGCTTGGATGATAGGCAGTGAAAATATCGATCGTCCAAACTCTGGACTCAAATCACCGGCTCTCACAATGATGGATTGAATGAGTGGAACAAACCACTCGCGCCAACCCAACCGGTTACCGTCCCGATGTATCATCAATTGAAGAAAATCTGTACTTCTGCTGATGAATTATAAATGATAGAAAGAGAATGTTTCATTTTCGTATTATTACAAACAGAAAACAAACAATGATTTGAGGAAAGTTATTAGTTGTCCTCAGATGTTATAACTGGTAAAGGCCCAGACAGAAATTTTTCCCAATTAGATTTATTTTGTTGAAAAAATGAGTTTTTCGATAGGAAATTTGAGTATATTCTCAATCAAATGCATGCCATAAGTTCAAAAAGTATGTACGTTTCAACAACACTGGCCAATCTAAATATTATATTAAACATCTCCCAAATTTATCATAGATTAGAATAGAAAATAGTAGAATAAAGCTTTATTTGGATAAATAGCAATCACAGTAACATTACATCTAAGAGGATATCACAGTAGTCAAAATTAAAGAAAATAGTGTCATGTTCAATTGATTGAATCAATATAGGAATTCGAAGACAAGTATTTGTTTGAATTAAAATAAATAATTGGGATATTATAGTCAATGGTTTCCTGTGTTCAGACTATGTTGTATCTTATGCAATTTAAATTTATTGCGATTTTCAAATAAGAACTTCAAGCACTCATATATATAGGTCCCTGACACGTGTTAATTATTAAATTTACCTCTACGTGATTCTTTGTAGTAAAGATGTAACCGAATTCTGAATTGATTGACAAATTTTCCATTTCAATTTATTTTTACAGGAAAATGAACCGTCCAAGGAGATGAATATTTACCAGGAGTTGTTTTTATTTTGGTCTTTTCATAATGATGAAAAAAACGCTTGTTCTAAAATTTGTGATAATAAATGGAGCTCATCGTAAGTTTGTTTAAATTATTCCTATCTTTGATAATTTATTCATTGCTCAAAACAATGTTTCAGCAATGTAACCTTTTGTAGTCATACTGTGCCATCTTTAGTTTCCAAACGACAGACTGATGAAAATACGACAGCATCCTTTATGCTTTTGTTGTCGAGGAGAATGAGGGAAGGATTCACAGTAGATGTAAGTTTTTTGTTAGATATTTTTATCGGCATTTGTAATTCTTTTCTTAGGTCAAAAATCATTGAAATGTAAACAATTATCATAATTCACAAAATACAAACTGAAAACTACAGTAGTGTTTGTACACCTTGAATTGTCTATTTTATTTAGTAGTCTTTGTACACCTTGAATTGAATATTTTATTTATGGTTGAAGTTATTGCTTATTTATGCAAATTTATAATTAATACATTCTATTTTTTATTCACTTTGAAGGTAAGGTTCATGTCAACTCCCCTGTTCTAGTTTGTTTAATATGTTCACACCATATACAGGCACTGATCATTTTCCAAATATAAGCTCGCCAATTCAGTAATCACAAACTTTCCAATTGATATCATATATTCCTATATCACAATAGAAAATACCTGTGTTGAAACTAGTTGAAACTTAGGGTATCGTAATTGACACCGTTGTCATATTGTTGACAAGCTGTTCCAAGAATTCAACTTGTAGTAATCTGTGAGTGTGTTGTGCAGTGCATAGAAAATTAAACTGAAGGCATAAAAGTCATAAAACTATCGTTTGTAAAAAGTAATTTTTCATTAGTGAGCATAGGCCTCTTGTGCAGCGGATTCTGAGTCAAAATTTCTGACATGTGAATATTTGACTATTTTGGGATAGGCCATAGACATGAAATATATATATTACGTCACTGAGATTGGCACGTGTCTTGAAACTTCAATCAGTTAAATAAATCAAAACATCAAACAAAAATAGGTTATGTTGTTGTTCGTGATGTAATCCTTTTAAAGAAATGAAATGTTAATATTTGTGTGTTGATGTTTGCAATGGATGAATGTGAATCTCTGCCATACAAGGCATTGAAGAATTGACTTTTGAAACCAGAATAGTTTTAAGGTTAGTTTCATATTGTTTGTTTATCAATATTATTTGTTATATTAATATTTGTGTCGCAATTAACGCTATTTATTTTTAGGGGCAGTTTGACATGTGAAGCATATTGTTTACACCTTATCATGGAATTTGATTCCCAAAGTCAATATTCTGATGAAGGAGTAGATTTATCCATATCAGGTCAGTTATGGAAACTGTTCAATTTTCTGTGATTAATTTATTATAGAGTTCATTGTTTTATCAGTCAATAATATGGACTTACTAATTTTATATTCAGTACTCTTGATAATACGATGATAAGGGGTTTAATCACTATGTTGAAGTTTCCTTGTTGCTATCTGCATAATAACATACAAGATTGAAGTAAACAGAACTTTTTGTCTACTAACATGTTTAATATTCATAAAGGAAAGTTTTCAGAAAATGGGGAACTATACCCAAAGGACTATTCCTTCCTGGAAGACTCTCAACCATCATTTTTGGAAGCAAAAATTGTGTTTTTGCTGATGCAAAGAAATGTTCCAGTTTCTAGGGCATCTCGGCTGCAATGGCTTTTAGATCACCTCAATACAATAGTCACTCCTAGTCAAAATTTGGTGAGAAAAATTTTCTTTTCCATTTCTGTTTTTTTTTGTAGATATACCATGTTTATCATATATACATAAATATTTATATTTACCTGGTAAATAAAGGAGAATACCCTAATTGTTAATACAGAAAATTAGTTTCAATAGTAATAACTTGTATTCAACAATACTAGTAATAATTTGAATATGTATACAATATATTTACTGGTGAACTATATTGATCTCTGAAGCTGCAACAATAACTGCTCGTGAGGCATTTTATTCAAACTATATGATACAGAAATACAGTTGAAAACTGAGAAGATCATCATGGCCTACCAGGATGGTGTCTTCAACACCTCAGTCTACTGCAGGCGCATGATGGGTATAGAGTTTCTTATCGCAAGGTGCAGGGCCTGCCGCGAGGTGTCTGAGACCCTAATGAACTTGCTGTCAGCATGTCCAGCATATGCGGTCCCGGCGTATATCTATCGATATAACGCGGCCCTAAGAGTGCTTCATCACCACCTATAGAACTCTTACATTATTGAAGAGACACCAGTGTTATCCTACACTCCGGGGGAGAAATGCCAATGATATTGGAACTATTCGTTTCTCACCCTCAAGCTCGTAAGCCTGATGTAGTCCTTGTCGACCAGACACCAAAGCAAGAGAATATTTGTTGTAGAGTTTTCAGCTCCTGGCGAGACGAATATCATCCGAAAGAAAGAGAAAAAACGGATAAAATATCTAGATTTTCTCTTCGAACTCCACAGACTTTATCCAGACCACTCTATCAAGATAGTTGTTCTGATTATTTGAATTCTTGGTGGAATGATGCCCTCTGTACTCTCGAATCTTAAAATCATACCGGCTTGCTGTATTAAGGCAGAAAACTTAGCCGGACAGATGCAGATGGCTGTCATTCTTGGCCTCACTGTGCTTACTCAGGATACATGATTCTTGAACCCAATGATCACCTATCCCACGGTGTGGAGTGTGGTCGTTGGTGGTTGATNAATTTTTTAAAAAGAGGTTTGCATGATTCTCTCTGATTTTTATTTAACATTGCACGTATGCATTTTTTTTGTACTAGGAATAGTTTTTGTGCTGAAGACATATAGAATTTAAAGGTAGAATAGTGTCACAACGAAGACATGCCCCTTAGCTCAAATATATGATGAATATGGTTCCTTATTTATTTGAAATTTTTTTACGTTTTTTTTTCAATTTGATGAAACTAGGCATATGATTTCGTTTGGTAGGTAATTTATTAGATAATCTCATTGCCGCATAAGACGGATGTTTTTCTGTCGATACTAATCTGTGTGTTGGATAAATTATAACATTACTGTGGGTAGGATAGTCACGATTCTCACTTCCCCCATTTGATCTTTAATTTATTTTTAAAGGGGCAAACAATGCATTCATAAATATTTAAACCTAGTTCTGCCAAAATGCCATTTTTTCTAAAGATGCCATGGCAGGTTTATCTGTATTTCAATTTTGAAATACTTCTAATGACTCTTCTGAATTTTGAACATTTCAACTATGTTCATATCACTTTCCAAAAATATTATGCCAAATCTAACTGAGGATTCAAAATTAGCGAAATGAATTATTCTTAACGATTTCCCATTTAAATATTTGCTTACAACTTTGGTACTATTTTATCAAGTTTTCTTACTATATTAATTATGTGTGTATGCCAATGAAGGTACTAATGAATATATACTCATTAAAATGTTGTATAACTTTTTATTTTCATTTTATTTTCTAGTAACTTTACTGATGATGGGATTTCAATTTTTATGTCATTGTGTTCGAAAAAAGAGAATGTTTGTTCTTTCTATATTCAATATTATCAGGGACATCAATAAGAATTGCAAGAGTGTAGTATAGTTATATAGTTATATGGGTATAGTATAGTTTATATGAAAGTAATTGTTTCGAGAGGTTTTTTTTCCTCTAGTTCACGAAAGTAACTTCTACATCGTATTCAAAAACACACTTTAATGTGTGATTTCCACAAAGTGTGTTTTAGAATACATTATAATTGATTTTCATCAAGTATCCATCAGTTTTATTATATTTTTAACTTCTATACATAATCTACACATCTTTGTAAAAATTTACCTCTCTTTTCAAATGAATATAAAAATAATTCTTCTAATGAATAAAAGAGGTTTTGATTGAAAAATTGAAAGCATTCTCTTTTAAGTTCACTGATGTTTGAATTATTCAATTTTCATGGGATGTGGTTATATACTTTTATACTGGTAATTTTGGGACCATTTGATCCAAGATCATCCTATTGCATCCTGTGCATAGGAAATGCACACACTTAACTTTCAAACCTGTAAAGTTTTCAGTATTTCCGGATGTCAGATGTATCAAAAATTCTAAGCCTACATAAGAAGGGTTCATTCACACAATGATTAGAGATAGAGAACTTGACAGAAAATTAATTCCAATAAACATCTCTGATAAAACTAGCTCAATATCAGTAATGACTTTTTTTTTCAGACTGAGACATCTAACAACTTAGAAGTGATAGCGGCAATACCGAGAGAACAAAATTCAAATCCAANATTTTTCACATATAGTCAGTGGGCATACTTGAAGACTGGCTATAAATCAAATCATCGAAAGGAACAATTCTCCCTACACTGTAGGTTAATGGACTGACACCTATCAGAAAACAACTACTTTCCTGGCTAATACCACGACGGGCGTTGAATTATATCCGACAGGTGTCAGTGCAGGATTCTTCACTGAAGTTATTCCTACATTTCAAAAATATGTAGTCTGGATACAAACAGGTTTTCTTCAGTACACTGAAAAATGGTATAACTACCATCCACTGGATGTTCTGGGAACACTTGATACCTTTCCTAGTTATTGTATTGACAGAAATGGATCCATCAAGTGACTTCCTAGATCACTTATTGAAAAATAACTAAATTATTTCTTCCAATGATGAAATTTTGATGATTTCAGTAGTAGCCAAAAAAATGATTCTAGAATGTTTTCCGTTTGCCCGTAATGTATATATGATCGTCATCTTAATGACGTTTGATATGAGATATTTTTATGATTGAAGTATTTGGTAAAACATTGAATGTCGTAAATGTATTTCATATTAGATCATTAGATCATTTTCATTTAGCTGATGAAATTATGTTGAATATCTGTTTTTTCGTTAACCAGACTGTCCGTCTGGTTAACATTGTCCGTGGCGGACAATGTATATCACTTTGGCCAACCCCATTCAGGTGGTAGGTGTATTTTGAGCATTTCCATCAGTCCTGAGAGTTTCATCGTTCCACCTCGAATATTACGGAAGATACGGGGGTGTTTCCATAAGAAGTGAGACAAAACCGGATTTTTCAGGACTGAAATTGTTGCAGGAAAAAAGTGTATTCATAGTAAGTTGGTAGTCCTGATCACGAATCAGAAGGAATTT